CCACTTAAATCATTTCAATTGGTCATAACCAATTTCCAATACAAAATTCCAACATCCTACACAGAAGTAATTATTGGCGAAAGTCGACGCCTCCCGGGGCTTAATGGTGTCACTTGCCCAATATGCTTGTGGATTACAATCCCAAAGATACACTCAAGTGCATACCTCCGTGTGAACATTGCTTCCATTCTGAGTGCACTGATGAATGGTACATGTCCACTTTGCAGAAATTCGCCTTCCCCTGCTCGTCCTACTACTTAAAAGGGTATTTTTGTTACCTAGCGCTGGACACCGTATTTAAATTTTTCAAAAATATTTTTAACTGTAGAAATAATTTTTTTAATATTTTTTCACTCAAAGTACTGCAACTTTTTCTGTTGTAAACCTTCATTCTTTTGTTCAATTGCCACTAACTGGAACATAATTTTACCGGACATTCTCAGTTGTCATACCATATGATTATCTATCGATATCAATATTGTTCATGTCCATTGAGTCGAGTAAGCAAATTTGTTGAATAAGGATAAATTTTCTCATAGCGAGGACTTGTTTATTGGATAAGTATTTTCCCGATTATTGTTTTCAGAGTCCTTCAAACCCCGTACGATATATTAATAATGGAAAATTGCACTGAACGGGTTCATGTCTCAAAAGATCACTTCCTCTAAAAATATATCTTCTTTGCCCTCGTTCGATTACAAAGAAGAGGCTGCCTCCGATCATGGGAGAGTCAAAGCCATATCTCTAGGACGTTAGCCAGCTCTTGATTTCGTAACTTTTAAAGATGAAAATTGGTTTATCAGATTATCAGGACACTAGACCGCGACAAAATTAGTTGATAATAAAAATTCTAAATGCAGATTAACAGATTTTATTATTGTTATTATTATTAATTTTTTTAAAGAGAGAATTTACAATCCCAAGAATTTTGGACAAATCAAGGGCTTTCTTATTTGTCGTCTTTTGCTGTTTAACCCGACATCGTTAAACCTTTAGTTTCTTGTTTGTGGGGATGAATACGAGGTATACATATTGTAAAGGCACAAAGCATATGAAGAAAGGAGTTTATACTTTAGGCCTGTAAATCCATAATCTCTACCTGGAAGATATGAAATTATGAAAATCCTTTTTTCATTCAGTCGAAAATCGATTGTAAGTTTTCTAATTTTCTTTTACGTTTTCGTTTGCGTAGTCCATTCCATGAATCATTGTCCAACTTCCAATTGTGGCAACAACAGTTTGAGTATAAAATATCCTTTCAAATTATCAGGCCAACAACTGGAAAACTGTGAATCCATCAATCTGAAGTGTAGTAATGAGGACATAACCATTCTAAATCTTCCTTATTCGGAAGAATTTTTCGTTCAGGATATCTACTATGACGAACAAGAAATACAGGTCTATGATCCAAATAACTGCCTTCCAAGATGGCTTTTGAATTTGAATCTTTCGTCGTCCCCTTTAATGGCCATAGAATATCAGACCTACACCTTTTATAGCTGTCCACGAGAACTTCTTCTCGGGTCCGAGTTCAAAGTTATTGATTGCCTAAGCAACTCCACAAGTGCTACAATCGCTAGTTCCTTCGTGCCTCAAGAATTGATGGAACAAGTGTATAAGTGCAAGATAATATATACGTCATCAATCCCAGTTTCCTGGCTGGGTCAATTGGATCACTGGGGAACTGATAGTAATCTTCTGTTAGCATGGAAAGACCTTTCTTGCAAAGATTGTGAAGGTAAATTTCATTCAAAAGTTCCATTTGATAACACTTTCCATCATTTGTTTAGAGTTCTTGAAAATCCTATTTGCTCATGAGGGATGTACTATCACACCCTAGGTTATGATCTTCGAGGTTGACAAAATTTTTGTAGATTAATACCCTCTTTGACATATATTCTTTCAAAATACACTCATTTTTAACCACACATTCTTTAATAAAATAATATTTTTTATCACATCAAACACCCTAATCACTAATTCCAAGAACAATAAGAAGCAAGCAGAAATGACTATAGTAGTTCAACCTCGATGTCAAAACTATTGTCTACTTGCCACTTCAGGTCGAGAAGAAGTATACAATGAAGATTTCACGCCACTTAGTCTTTGGATAAATTAAAATCGTCTCCTCACGTGCCTTTATGTACGTATTAAGAAATTAGAGTTGTTTAATACATCATCATGAATGCCCAATGCCCCTATAGTAATAGAATTCGCCTATATACTGATTCATTTCACAGGAAATTGAGCGGTCCACAGTCAAAGAATAAGTAAACGGTATAATTAGACTTCACATAGTCCAACAACAAGTGCGCTTGGTGTGAAGGTCAATGATTAGGTTAGAAACTAATATGAGTTTTGTGGAAGACCATCTCGTGACTACCTTTGAGATAAATTTGAGTCTATTCCTCGAGTCATTTATAGTGGAACTAAGTCGAAACATGTTTATAGGTAACAACTTCAGTTCAAGGCCGTAAAAGAAGAACTTTGGTTGTGCATTGACTAAACAAAACTTTTTCTTTCTTAATATTATCGAGTAGTAGTACCTGTAAATTTTAAATTCATTGAATCTACATGAACAGATGAATCGCAGAGTAAGCTATCGAAAATTCTTACACTAGCCATCAGTATGCCAGGGATTGTTATAATCTCCACATTTTGCTGCCTAGCAACTTGCATGCAGTTGTGCAACTTGGTAAGAAAGAAATATGAACTTTTTGAAACTGGAGCGCCACCACAAGCCAACATGTTTCCCGGCATAGTGCCGCCACAAACCACCAGTACTGTACCAGTAGGCCTCAATGACTCCAAAATTAAGTCTTGTACAGAATTAGTAGTACTGAATGAAGGCCAAAGCATTTCAGGGTCTGAGAGTACTGCTTGCCCAATATGCCTAGAAGGGTACCATCCAGAAGAGACAGTAAGGTGCATATCAGTTTGTAAACATGGATTTCACGCCAACTGCATCGGACAATGGCTAAGGAAGAACGGAACATGTCCAGTTTGCAACAAGTTGTCGTTCAAGACATATCAATTACAACCCATATATCTTAGTTCTATAGTATGGAAAAATTCAATTCAATTCTAGCATTGCTAATACTTTCCATACGCTCGCCTCAAATAGAAATAATTAATGCAATGGAATTCTTCATTTGTTCTTCAAATTTCATGGTCGCGATTATTTTNGTTCTTCAAATTTCATGGTCGCGATTATTTTGATTCATTAGCTATACTAGAGAAATTAGCATAGGTGAGTAGAGCATTATTGAGATGTTACTAGATTCTTAAAACTCTAGTAACAAATTTAGCTTCTGTCTGATCCCCATCTTTCAAAACTCTCAATATTACACACAAATTTAATAAAAAGTCTCCAAAAAAATCACGTTTTACAAAATCTATTATAAAATAATGCGGCTGAAACAGGGGCTTTGATCGAACTATGATAGTTTCGTTTTAGAGATTTGAACTGTGAAGATTTGGAAGAAGCTTTGATTGAACCATGGGGCTATTTATATACGCGGGAAAGTTAGGAGTTCAAATATTGTGAAGTTGTTAAGGGCTTTTATTCAGTGCTTCGGGTGCAACGCAAGTCTGCGTATATTACTCCTGTTAGGAATCTAACGATATGGTGATCTCCGTATATTCAAGTAGAATTCTCATTTATTTTATTTTTTTTGAAAATTATGTAGATTTATATACGCTTGATTTTATTTATTTATTTATTTAGTCAAAGATTTTACTTGTTTTTTAAAAAACATACATGAAAAATAAGTTGCAAAATTTTACCTAATATATTGTTCGTGCATTTTATTATGCAATTGATCGTTTACTAAATGTTTGATACGTAAAATAAAGTAATAAGAAAATTAACAAAATTTATCACTTTGTTATTATGTTCGGCCAACCAGGGCCACGATTGCCCCCCCCCTCCCTCCCCACCCCACTCCACCCCAACTAAAATCCTCAAGAAAAATACAAAAACTTAAAAGGAAAAATTACATAAATGCAGGTGTTTGAAGATAGCTTTTCAAAAATCAGGCCTAAATTTTTACTTATTCAAAAATCAAGTAATAATTTTATATTTTAAAAAATATATTAATATTAAAAGCCTAATAATTTTTTCACATGTGTTCTCTCTCTATCCCCTCCATTTTCTCTCTCCTCTCATTCTCTCTACTTTCTCCCTCGTTTAACGGCGCCACTAGAAGACGAGAAGGCGCCACCGGAAGACGTCACCGTCCACTGAGTGATGAAGTCGTTGTTGTTCTCAGCGGCGTCGAACACAACGCTGAGGCTGCTGTCGTTCACAGTGCTAAGTCTGTCGTTTCCAGCTACTTCGTAGTGACGCCAAGGCTGCTGTAGTTCCCGGTGCTGCACCCGCCGCATACAATCGTGCGTAGTGTAGCCATCGTAGGACTCTATTAGATCCGTCAAATCACTAGTCAAAAATTGGAATCGAATCCCCAAATCAAACAAACCCTAGATGAGTTGGGCATCGACAATTGGTGTATTTGATAGCAGCGGCATTTGGTGGTTGTGTTGTTTTCAGTTTGTAAATGATTGTGTTTTAGTGGTGGTTATCGTGGTGAGGGTGGTGGTGTTGGTGGTTGTTCAGTGGTGGTGGTTTGATGATAGTCGTGCAGGTTGTTTGTTGGTGGCGAATCAAATTTCATGGTCGCGATTATTTTAATTCATTAGCTATACTAGAGAAATTAGCATAGGTGAGTAGAGCATTATTGAGATGTTACTAGATTCTTAAAACTCTAGTAACAAATTTAGCTTCTGTCTGATCCTCATCTTTCAAAACTCTCAATATTACACACAAATTTAATAAAAAGTCTCCAAAAAAAATCACGTTTTACAAAATCTATTATAAAATAATGCGGCTGAAACAGGGGCTTTGATCAAACTATGATAGTTTCCTTTTAGAGATTTGAACTGTGAAGATTTGGAAGAAGCTTTGATTGAACCATGGGGCTATTTATATACGCGGGAAAGTTAGGAGTTCAAATATTGTGAAGTTGTTAAGGGCTTTTTATTCAGTGCTTCGGGTGCAACGCAAGTCTGCGTATATTACTCCTGTTAGGAATCTAACAATATGGTGATCTCCGTATATCCAAGTAGAATTCTCATTTATTTTATTTTTTTTGAAAATTATGTAGATTTATATACGCTTGATTTTATTTATTTATTTATTTAGTCGAAGAGTTTACTTGTTTTTTAAAAAACATACATGAAAAATAAGTTGCAAAATTTTACCTAATATATTGTTCGTGCATTTTATTATGCAATTGATCGTTTACTAAATGTTTGATGCGTAAAATAAAGTAAAAAGAAAATTAACAAAATTTATCACTTTGTTTGAAGATAGCTTTTCAAAAATCAGGTCTAAATTTTACTTATTCAAAAATCAGGTAATAATTTTATATTTTAAATCCTAATAATTTTTTCACATGTGTTCTCTCTCTATCCCCTCCCCTCCCTTCTCTCTCTCCTCTCATTCTCTCTACTTTCTCCTCGTTAAACGACGCCACCGGAAGACGTCACCGTCCACTGAGTGATGAAGCCGCTGTAGTAGCGGCGCTGTCGTTCCCAACGGCGTCGAACGTGACGCTGAGGCTGCTGTCGTTCCCAGTGTTGAGTCTGTCGTTTCCAGTGGCGTCGAAGCGACGCCGAGGCTGCTGTAGTTCCCGGTGGTGCACCCGCCGCCGCTGCATACAATCGCGCGTAGTGTAGCCGCCGTAGGACTCCGTTGGATCCGCTAGATCGCTAGTCAAAAATTGGAATCGAATGCCCAAATCAAACAAACCCTAGATGAGTTGGGCATCGACAATTGGTGTATTCGGTAGCAGCGGTATTTGGTGGTTGTGTTGTTTTCAATTTGTAAATGATTGTGTTTTAATGGTGGTTGTCGTGGTGAGGGGTGGTGGTGTTGGTGGTTGTTCAGTGGTGGTGGTGCGATGATAGTCGTGCATGTTGTTTGTTGGTGGCGAAGGGAGTGATGGTAGCTGTGGCGATGATGATAGTGGTGGTGTGTCTCTCCGTTGGTGTGGGATTTGGTGGCGGCCTTGGTGGTGTGATGTGGTGGTGTTGGCAAGAGGTGGTGTGGTGTGGTGGAGGTGGAGGTGGTTGTCAACGGCTTTGTTGGTGTTGTTGCGGCGGTGGCGACGTGGTGAGGGTGTTCGAAAGTGGCCATAGTAGTAGTGGCGGTAGTCTGTGACCAAACGTTTGGTAATCTGTGACCAAATGTTTGGTAATTTGTTACCAATTACTCAACTGTGACTTAAAAATTTAATAATATGTGACTTAAAAATAATCTGTAATCAACTAATTTAAAAATCTGTGACCACGAAATAATATGTGACGTACAAAATTTTTGATATGTCGAAATAATATGTGACCATTAATTATATAACAGTGATCTTATTATATTTAATTAATAAATATTTTTAATTAATTAACTAAAACCTGATTTTTGTATTAGTCAAACTTAAAACCTGATTTTTGAATTGTGTATAGTTAATCCCTGACTTTTGAACTCTTCCCTTTTAAAAATACGGAGCCCATTTCCCCAGTTGACAAGGGAAGTCTCATTTCCTATCATATTCAATTCTTCATATACCTGATTTTTGAATTGTGTATAGTAAATCCTCGGCTTTTGAACTCTTCCCAGTTAACTAACTGGACCCAAGCGGCATTTGGCCAGATGGGCGCAAGGTTAGGCCAGCCCATTTTGACATCTAGGTATCTTATGTAACCTTTAAAAATATATAAACTAAAGAATGGAGATATTGAACAGTAGACTATAGGCATAATTTGTTTAGACAACAGTGTTTCTGGTGGAACATTACTCCAGCACACCAAAACAGGACATGCCTCCTCTGCAACAAATTACAACAAAAATTACTTACTATAGGGCTGGTCAAATTACTATGTGCAAGTGAAAATTGCACTAAAGGAAAATGAACAAAATTCCATGTGCTCCTTGCAATAAATTGGTATGCGTTAGTTCAAGAATTTCCGGCAGTTTGGAGCTTCACATAAGCACGGAACTTTAACTTCATCGTCCTCGTCAGATTCAAACAAGTAATCGTACCTGCTTAGAAAAAATGAGGTCAGACAGTAGATATCAATGCTTAATCAAAATTCAACGTTGGGGTGGGGATAGGAATGCACAGAGAGGACTAGTCATACGTTAATTCTCCGCCAGCTGAAACATCAATTTTAGCTACGAGGGCTTAGATTGTATATGTACATGTAAAGCTCTTCATGATAAGAATAAATCTTAGCCTATGTATATGGGTTTACACTCAGAAAAGAGTGAATAAACAAGAACATTGAAAGAGGGTCACATAGGATTAACTCACATAGCAATCTTTGCCTTCCGATCGATAGCGTGCCTCCCTCAGATCAGCAACGCTGCGCCTCACCTTCTCACCTTGATACTCAAGAACCTGGAGAAATAGTCAGTAGTAAAGGTTATAGTGCTTCAATAACATTAATTAAACAAAAAGAAGAAAGTACTCCAACACCCAATACTCTTTACTACACTACCAAAAAGGGATTGTCATCAATCTATCTAGCATGTTCACATCAGAAAAGAACCACCCCCCCACCACCCAAAAAAAGGTACCATTTCTCCTTCTTGAATGTTCTACTTTGCAAAGAGGCCTCATCCATGTATTCTTGATTTACCGAAGCAAACCCGATTTTTTTTCTGTCCTCTGAAGCATCACAGAAGAAATTGTTACAAGAAAGATCAGCTAACACGTGCAACAAACAAACAAGCATGCATGCACACCCATCCACAGGGTGAAAACCAAGAAACTAGCGCAGGAAAAACAAACTTAAATCATGCAGAAAAGTTATTCACCCGTAAAAGGCTTAGTCGCTCGCTGAAGGTTGAAAAAACTTTTCCATCTTCAACTTGC